GTTAATTTAAGATAAATAATCTTCTATAGGTTTTTATATGATTTTTAACTTGACACAAATGTATTTAGAATAACCTATATATTGTAAATGGATAAGTGCAATTGAAAGTGTAAATGTTTATTTCTCTCACAGTACATGTGATGTTATAATCATGTTGTGTTATATATAACTATAACTATGATATTAATTGCCTGCATGCTTTCATTTACAATGTTTCATGCTTATGATACATATAATGTTTTATAAATGCTTGATACAATAATAATGATTTGAATGACACAATGAATTTTATTTGTAGACTATTACATGAGTGCTTGCAAGTACACTCTGCAGAAATGTAGTATTCCCGACTTCTGCTATTTATACGGAGACAATACTCTATGAATTGTTAGAATTATAGGTTGATGATCTGGGGTGGGTAAACCTTACGACTTAAGGTGTCACGTGTGCACGATAAAACTATTATATGATAAATTACATTTAAATAATAAATTGTGTCAATACAAATAAAAATGTTTGGAGATGAATTAAAAAATACTGAGGACCAGTCTTTTAGACCAAGTGCAGAGCACGAAGTAAGATCTAAAAATATTTTGGGCAGAAATAAAAATTAGAACAAGAAAAATATAGACACTAGAACAGCTGAGTTACAAGGCATTGCGCAGCTGATATACTAGTGATTGACAACATGACTGTTATCGAATGATCCTTTACCAGTACATGGTCTAGATCTGAAATTGGGGCACAAGTTGATTGGCATTTAAAGATATTTCACTCTTTCAAGCCATCAACATTCAAGAGTGTCAATGACCCTGCGGTTGCTAAAGATTGGCTCTGAAAAATTGGAAAATTTCTGGATGGTATGATTTTTCGAAAAACAGGAGAGTAGTGTTAACTACATTCATGCTGGAATGAAAAGCAGGGCAACACAACATAGAGAGAAATTTCAGTTGACACCTCTCTACCACATATTGAGTGGGAAGAATTTGTTAAAATCTATAAAGTTAGGTTCATTCCACCATCCTCCAAATTAACGTTGTAAGATAAGTTCTTCAATCTAACTCAATGGTCCAAGATAGTTATGCAAAATGAGAAAATCCACTTGTCTTTCCATATATGCACCCTAGTATGTTAGCACCCTGGAGGAAAAGTTCCACGAATTTTTCGCGGTCTCAGAGATTAGTTTGGGGTTGTTTTAGCGCTATTTGAGATCAACGATTTCTCGGTGCTCGTTCAAAGAGCCAAAAGAATCATAAATTAGTTGAACTTTTCCAGTCAGCAGTAGCAATCTCATGTAACTAAGTGAAAGGATGTTGCAAAAAAAAAACACTTCAATAACAAGAAAATTAAATTAGAAGATACGAAGCAACCTCGAATAGAAAAGCCAATTTGTAAAAAATGTGGAAAAAGACACTTTGGGCAGTGTTTGATTGGTTTTGGAAAATGTTACAAATGCAGACAACCAGGGCATATTCAAATGAATTGTCCACAAAAAAAGAAGAGAGATGACAAATCACAAACAATTCAAGGACAGGGACAACCCATAAAATTTTTGGAAGATAGTTAGCCCAGTAGAAATCACTTTTTAAGAAAGCCTTCAGTGCAAGCAAGGGTGAAACTTCAGAGCACATAATTAAACAAATAGTAAAAGCTCGAGTTTTTTGTAATTTCCCCTCTAGAAGCCAAAGAATTTGAAGAAGTGGTTAAGTGTACGCTTCTAATTCAAGATCAGTCTGACATTATCCTATTTGATTTAGGTTCATCTCATTCCTTTACTTTTGATGAGTTTGTTGTTAGTTTACACGTTGATATTATGCATTTTAATCCTGCTTTGTGTTATGCCATCAAGAAGCGGTTTTTATGCCAATAAAAAATGTGTAGTGTATTGTTCATGATAAGAAGTTGTCAACTGAGTTGACTATCATATCAATTCAGACCTTCGATATTATTTTGGGGATAAATTAGTTGGTAAATCATTTTGCTAAATGCTAGAAAAAGCGGGTGGCGCTGAAATCGCCTGATTAAAAACCATTAAATATCTTATGTGATTGAAATGCACAATCATTCTTGATTAGTGCAGTAAAAGTTGGGAAGTATTGGTGAAGTGGTGAACGAATGTTCTTAGCAAAATTAAAAGTATCGAACAAAGATGTACAAGAATTGAAAAATATCCCAATAGTTTCATAATTTTCTGATGTATTTTCTAAAGAATTGTCATGGCTACCGCCAGAATAAGAAGTTGAATTTGGTATTGATGTGCAACAAAGAATATCTGCAATATTCAAATATATTTACAGGATGGCTCTGAAAGAAGTGTAAGGATTGAAATGTCAGTTGCATGAATTGATAGATAAGGATTTTATCAGACCAATTAATTCAACTTGGAGTGCTCCAGTATTGTTTGTTAAAAAGAATGATAGATCAATGTGATTATGTATTGATTACAAAGAGTTGAACATGCCAACAATCAAGGACAAATATCCGTTACCCAGGATCGATGATCTCTTTGATCAGTTAGAAGGTGCTACTCTATTTTCGATAATTGATCTTAGATCTGGATATCATCAGGTCAGAGTTAAGGAGACATATATATAACTAAGACAACTTTTAGGATAAGGTATGGTCATTATAAATTTATAGTTATTTATTTTGGCTCAATCAATGCTCCTGTAACTTTCATGGAACTGATTAATCAAATCGTTAAATTGTATGTGGATTGGTTTGTTATTATATTTACTGATGATATACTGAATTTTTCAAGAACTGATGAAGATCATGTCAAGCTTTTGAGAATTGTTTTGGAGTTGTTGAGGCAGAAGCAGCCATATGCAAATTTTTTGAAATGTTAATCTTAGCTGTGAAGCATTGCATTTGTGAGACATTTTATCAGTGATCAGAGAATTTTAATAGATCTTTCTAAGGTGAAGACAATTGTGGAATAGCCTACTTCAAAGAATATTACAGAGGTACGCAGTTTCTTTGGTTTGGTTGGATATTATAGAAGGTTCCTAAAGGGTTTTTCACAAATAACTATGTCGTTATGCAAGCTGATAGAAAAGATGTCCAATTTGAGTATTATGCAAAATGTGAGCATAGTTTCCAAGAGTTGAAGAAACATTTGACCACTACAATAGTGTTAGCTCCTCAATCAAGCATAGAAAGATTTTAAATTTATAGTGACACATCATTAAAAGACTTGGGTTGCATTCTAATGCAAAAAAAAAAAGGTGATAGCCTATGCATCAAGAAAGTTAAAGCCACATGAAACGAATTACCCGAAACATGACCTAGAGAGAGTTGTTGAACTGTTTGCTCTCGAGATTTGGCAACATTATTTATACGTCGTGAAATGTGAAGTATTTACTGATCATCAAAACTTGAAGTACATTTTCACACAAAAAAAGAGCTAAATCTGAGGCCAACAAAGATGGTTAGAGCTGAACAAAGACTATGATCTGGATATACTGTATTGTCCTAGCCATGCAAATGTAGTTGTCGATGCATTGAACCGTAAATTCACAGGTAATGCTAACAGGATTATCACTCAGAGGCCGGAGTTCCTTAAGGAAATTGATGTTTTATAGTTAAAAGTTAGAAGATCATGTGATATGAGATATTTACATCAATTGATAGTGCAAAAAACATTGATGCATAGAATCAAAACAACGCAGCAAAGTTATAGAGAATATCCAAAACTTCTAAAATAATGTCAAGCAGGAAAGAGGACTGATATGTTGATTAAGATTACATTAGCAAATATAAGCTGCAGATATGGGTACCTGTTGATTTTGATTTGAAATGAAAAATTCTATATGAAGCTCACATTCAGGGTACATAATTCATATAGGAAGTACTAAAATGTATAAAGATTTGAAGTTGGCATTATGGTGGCCAGGTATGAAGAAGAATATTGCTGAATATGTATCCCAATGTCAATCATAACAGATTGTAAAGACTGAGCATCAGATACTCGACGGATTACTACAATCATTATCGATACCTGAACTAAAATGAGAAGAAATTGCTAGGGATTTTGTTATGGGAATTCCTCAATCTAGATAGGGTCGTGACCGTATTTAAGTTATTATTAACGGAGTAACCATGTTAGCTCACTTTTTGCCTATAAGACATACAGATTCAGTGGAAAAGTTGGTAAGATTATATGTGAAGAAAATTATCAGATTGCATAAAATTCTTGAAGTAATTTTTTCTGATAGAGACGAAAGATAACATCTAGGTTATGAAAAGGCATTCAACAAGGTTTGGGTACACAGTTAAATTTCAGCACTGCATTTCATCCACAAATTAACCGGCAATCAGAAAGGACAATTCAAGTATTGGAAGATCTGTTAAGGCTTTGTGCTCTCGACTTTGGATGTAGTTGGGAAGATCCCATTACAACGATCAAGTTCACTTACAATAATAGCTGTCAGTCTAGTATCAAAATGGCTCTTTATGAAGCGTTGTATGCAAGAAAGCGCAGAACTCCAGAATTCATCAAATGCTAGGTCCAGAGCTAGTTGACAAAGCCACGGAGAAAAATCAAATTAATTAGAGATAGATTGAAAGCTGCTCAGGATCGACAACAAAAAATACTAAGACTCAAAGCACGAAGCAATCAAATTTGAAGTTGGAGATTTCATGTTTTAGAAAGTCAAGCCAATGAAAGATACAGCTAGATTTGGTCAGGAAAGCAAGTTGAATCCTAGGTATATTGGTACTTTTGAAATTATAGAAAAGATCGGTCTAGTTGCCTACAGATTAATATTACCTGCAGATATGTCAGATATAAGAAAAATTTTTTCGTCCGGACATCTGCACGTCCGGATGCCAACCACGACACGTCGCCCGTTTTATTTGATTCAAAGCCTTGGATCATATCATGACATTTCTTATATAAAATAGGAAAATAAAAAAAAGAAAATAACTGTTTTTGGAGTGAAAACATGTATAATGTATACAGTCAAAAAAGTGAATAATAAAGTTGGCTATTGCATTACCTGCTTGTTCAAGGCATCGAGTGTTTCCTCATTAAGATCATTACTGGCAGCGATAGTTGTTTTACCAAAACCTGAAATACAAAATTCCTTCTCTATTGCATGAAAGAACTTCCTAGATTCAATAGACAAATACGACAGATCACCAGAGTCCAACCTAATTCCATTTGCTTTATACCTGTAGAAAAGAAGAAACTACTTGATTTAACTAAATCATATTTAGCATACAAGCCACCAAGATGAGAAATTTGAGGCAAAAATGAAATCAGTCACAGAAGCCAGGAAGGCCTAAACATTTTGCCAGTGGACTTGAACAACAAAGTTAATTCAGTTAAATGTAATTACAATAAATGAGCGTACCCTAATTCATTTAGTGCTAGGGCTACTGCACAGAAATTAGGAACACCACTCCTCATTACCTAAGAAAGAAAAGAGTTATTTGAGATTCTTGAAGACAATGTAGTGTAGTAACCAATTAACCATCGCCTAGCCATGGAAGAAATAAATTTATAATCAAAGCTTAAGAATGCTTGGCATAATGGATTAAAGGAAATGGGGAACAATACCATTTGACATAGAAAAGAAATTTGAAATGAAAAAGCATTAAAAAAAAGAGTCGACTCATTGGTAAGATTCAAATTTGGAAGGGCGAAATAGAGAAAAATAGGAAGGGAAGGGTGAAACAAAGCCATTAAAAGAAATTTATATATCATATTCGTAAACTCATTAAACAATACCATTAGAAGCCAGACCAGGAACAATTGGAAGGGCGAAACAAAGGCCTCAAAATAGGCTAAATTTACAAAATCTAGCCAGTTTTGGGACTATTTTATTGTAATACTTTTAAAAAGCACAATATAAAGCCTACTAGTTAAATGAGAAGAATATTAAATTTCATTTACATTGGGGCACAAGCCTCCGCTTAGCAATCACACTAAGTACATTAACATTATAAGAAAAATATGATTAGACAAGAATAAAATATATGAGTTCCATCCTGCAAACGGATAGGAAGATGAAATATAGATTTGCTTTCAACTTGCTTACATTGTATGTGTCCACGAGTGCCAGAAAGTTATGTGGAAATGCCAGCGCATAAGATATAAAGGCTGCCAGTTCACTCTGGCTTGTATCTCCGAAAAACCAAGGCAATGATACTGCATGCTGAAGTCATAAATACATAATCATTACTAGAAAATGATGGTAGAATTAAAGACTAGGCCAAAAAAAGGATGACACTAGAGCGAGCAACCAACTTATTGAAACACTTCAAAGCAGTAGAATCACACAATAATATCCCGGTATGTTTTCAAGGGGAAAAGACGTGCGAGGGAATGTTGAACTCAATATTTTAGATAGCAAAATCCAGATAATATCTGCACTATTATGCAATTCTAAGTGCAAAAAGATTTCAGTTTACTTTCTGAAGTAAGCACATGCCTCTTTTACTGATCCAAGCCACTAAGCATTCTCAATGGAGGGAAATTACATGCGTACCAAAAAAAGGGGGTGCGGGGATGTGGGTATTAGCTACATCCTGCTAAGTGGTTATCATATTAAAAACTTAACAGGTAAAATATGATGGGCCTTCTGTATTGCTTTGTATTTCTTAATGAATTTTTCAACATCTTTAGTATATGTTGATTGTTTATAATCATTGTTTTATCATTAAATTACCACTAAAATAAAAGTAAAGAAAGAATTCCTTTAATTTTGTTGTTTTTATGGTTCTAATTTTTTGGATTTCATTTTTTATCTTTTTCAATGCTTTTCATATGATGTTTGTAGGATTCTTAGCGGCAATCAGCTTTGCTTTAGGTTAATTGGCTAGTAGTCATGCTTATGGTGCGTTTAATTTGCACAGACTAGCAATTAATAGATCATTATAAATGGATTTGAAATTAAAATAAAACTAAACTCCAAACTGAACGAGAGATTTTCTTTGTGTTAAAACATCATTTATGTTCTTGTTAAGCGATTAGACATTTTTTATACCTCTGCTGATGCCAATGTTGTTTACATCCAGGGTAGAGGTTCCCAGAAACATTTCCACTTTTTTATGTGTTCCACTCACTTAAATTGGGTTGGAACCTTGAATTTATGTTTCTATGTACTTTCTTGTCAAGAACTTCGCATTACAGTAAAGCATCTTGTGGGGAACTACGCAGATTATGTGTTCTAAATTTTATCATATGATATGAATTTCACATATCATATGTTCAAATTACCAACAAATTCATAAATTTCATAATTTGTAGTTAGTTTCCCAGAAAATCCATAAGAAAATCATCGACACACCAAACAAATGAGTAAAAATTCATTAGATTTAAATTCAATAGAATGTTCACCAAGATTCACATGCATTCTAACTCGATATTTTGTGAAACTTTTAAATAGACCGATGCCCTTTACCTTATTAAAAAATCAGATATATGCAAACTCAATCATGGGCAATATTAATTCCAATAATATGTATTTTTTAACTATTTTAACTAGTATAGAATCTGGAAAATAATTTTATTCCATTTTTACTTGTCATTACACCACACAACATATATATAAATAATATAAAAAACAAACTAGAAATGCCTCTAAATAGTTAAGAAAATAAAATAGAAAATATAAATAAAAGGAAATGCCGTTAGCGGAGAATATTCTAAGAGAAGGAAATAAATTTCTTCCTAACGAGCATTTTCACTTTCTTACGCTACGCTTCAAGCTTAGTTGTACAATTTGTACAAACTAAGCTCAGACTTCAATTTATCATGATCGAGTCTTGGTAATCCATTGGTGAGAATATCAACAATTTGAAGTCTTATGGGAAATTAGCAAACCTGAACAATTCCAATGTTAATATTTTCTGAAAAAAAGTGTAGGTCAATCTTGCTGTATTTTATTCTTCCATGATGCATAAGATTCTTGGTCATACTAATAGTTCTTTGACTATCACTGAACATTTTGATTCTGTATATTGTCTCCAGCCTTATGTTCCTTTAGTAGCCTTTGAATTCACATCCCTTCACATATTCCTACTGCAAGAGCACGATATTCAGATTTTGCACTGCTCTGAGAGAACAAAATGTCTTTTTCTCTACATGACGGGATTGCCCAAACGTATGAGCAGCATCCAATGGTTGATTTCTTACCCATTTATCTCTTTTGCCCAGCTAGTATCTGTGAATCTCATGATTTTCAGCTCTTTTAAACAGCAAACCATATCCTAGGGTCATTTTCGAGTATCTCAGGATTCTGCTTACTTTTTCAAGATGATCCTCTTTTAGATTATTCATATGATGGCATACTACAGTGACTTAGGAGGCAATATCAAGTCTTATGTGTGAAAGTTAAAATAGTTTTTCCACAAGTTTCTAACATCTTCCTTTGTCAACTGCACTATTTTTTTTTCACTTCATTTCATCTTTTTGTTAGAACTCATGGGTGTGTCAGTAAGTTTACACCAAAGTACATTAGTTTCAATCAACATGCTGAAGTGGTACTGACATGGGGCTGCTAGGGCTGAACCGGCCCATGGTTCAACAAGGGGGTGTCGGTTCAGTTGGGAGGTTGAACAGACCTACCATAATTAGGAATGGTAGTTATTCCAGCACAAAAGGGAACCCCCCTAGTTAACTTTTTATTATAAATAGATTGTTTGTTATGTCAGGGTTTAGTTTTTGCTGAGATTTCTGATTGGACAACCGTCGACGACACATTTTTTTATTCTAAGATTGTATACAAGGACGAGTGGTTCGCCGTTGTATTTCATTTCGAGGTGGTGATTATCCCTAACCTCCCCCTCTTCCGCAAGCTCTCTCTCACTTTAATGGTCGTTGTCCTTGCTAAAGCTCACCCCAAAGACAACAATTATGTTGTTTATTGCAGACCCCAAACCTTCCACCCTCTCGTTACATTCCTCCTTCCCTTCTTCCCAAATGCAACACCCAACCCTTCTCCCCTCAGTTGTTGTCTTTCCTACGACAACTACTATCTAGGTTCTCCCATAACCTCCTCCCACCCTCTTACAACTACCGCCTAATCCTTTATCCTACCGAACATCCACTGCAACTTCTTTCACTGGCTTTCCAGCTGCTGCCTGGAGCCACTTCCAACCCTCCTACCCTCACAACCACCTCCAATCCGACCCCTACTTATTGTCTAGCAGCCATCCACCACCCTCGTCCTCGCCCTATGGTGTATTTTAATGTTTATTGTCATATATTTCAAGTTTTGGAGAATCGTCATTATCACCTATTTAAATTTCAACAATAATATTTCTATTTCGATTGTGGTTTCAATTATCAATGGAATTATTTGGTATCAGAGCTAGCTTAACCCTAGTCCAATCTTAGGGTTTCTTAGCATTCACCCTTACCCAAGCCACCTCCACCAAAAATTTTTCTTTCCTGTTCCCAAACCATAGACAAATCCAGACCTAACCCTAACTTCGCCTTGCTGATTTTCAAAAATCAGCAACCCCAAATTAATTTTCCTACACCTTCAATTAGTCTCACACAAACCCCTTTCAACTCCCAACCCTAAACCCCAACAATGTCACTAAGGAGATACATACCTGAGCCTCTACGGGAGAAGATATAGTGAGAAATTCATTTGTTTTAGCAGAGACTTATGGACATGGAGGATGAAACCCAGGGGAAATTACGCTCGATCATGATAGGAAAAGTCAAAGGGGTGAAAGAGACGAGCATTTCAACTATTTCAGTGATTGGAAAAAAAGCCACGATGCTTTATAATCCAATATCAGAGGAGACCAAGAGAGGCCACATATGGATGACACAAAGATTTCAAAATAAAGGTGGATTTGTCAGAGTTCGATTGAGGTATAAATCCCAACAACTTCATCGAATGACTGTAGTCAGTTGAGAGAATCTTTAAGAACAAAGTGATGTCAAAAGATAAAAGAGTAAAACTAACATTCATTAAATTGAGAAAGATCGTCTCTTTGTGGTGGGAAAACTTGCAGAGACAGGAAAAGAGAAGGCTGTGACAAGATTACCAAATGAGAGAAGAAGAGGAAAGCGATGCAGAGAAAATACCTACCTCCTCATTACTGGTAGGATATGCTCCCAAGACTAAACCAACTACAGCAGAGAGATATTTCAGTAGAGGAGTTCACAACCTAGTTTGACCAGTTGCAGATAAAGTGTGAGTTGGTCGGGCCAGATGAACATACCATAACCTGATATCAGGTGATTTGAAGTTCGCTATCAACAACTTCGTGCAACTGCACGATGTCCAAACCATAACCCTGAAGATAGAGAGACAACAAAGACAGAGCAGACAATCATGACCAGTCATGTAGCCACCTGTAGTTGGTGAGAAAACTAATTCAAATAAGGACAGATTGAGTTGTTTCATTCACCAAGCATGGTGTAGTAGTGGAGGTTAGCGATGAGAAGACAGTTGAAGAATAGGGTGAGGTGTATCATCTTCCATTAGATGAGGGTGAGATGCTCATGGTTCAACGAGTCCTACAGACTGAGGATTCGAGTGGTCCACAGTAGTTTCACCATAATATATTCTACACCTGCTGCACCGTTAACTGGAAGGTATGCAGCCTCATCATCGATGGAGGGAACAATAAGAGCGTGACGTCTACACAGATAGTGAAGAAATTAGGCCTCGTGACTCAAAGTCATTTGTATTCTCTAACGTGGCTAATAAGGAGAACATGGTCAACATTGAAAGAAGGTATCTAGTGACGAGACGCAAGAACAGTGGTGGAGGTGCTATTCAGGGTGGTTGCAGTAAGGAAAACAGGAAAATGGATATGGGAATATGTAAGAAAAATTGAGAAAGGTGTTAAAAAGACAAGCACCACCTGGAGATCAAGATACAACCAGAGCAACACTTGGAAACTTGTGGAAAAGAGACTCCAATGGCTATCCTGAAATAAATCACAGCAAAAATTAAACCCTAAACACCGTCAAAAGCAAATATTTAGTCCTAAATAAGTAGGAGTGGGCCCCACTCCAATTGGGCAGCAATCCCTGAGCCTAGAGAGCCCGCTGATACTCAATTTTCCCTAGATCGAACCGGTTCAATTATCGCATACGCCCAACACTAATCTCTTAGGGCTGGGAGTAGGGCTGTCAAAACAGCTCATTGGCGAACAACTCATGTTCGGCTCGTTCGCTAAGTTAACGAGCCGAACAAGAACAAAGATTTGTTCGTTCGTGTTCGGTTCGAAATACTACCATCAATTATATATATACATACATATTGATGAGTACTATTTTTAAAATATTTAATTGATTAAAAGGCAACATAGATTTATAGTTAATTAAAAGTATTAATTAAGAAAATAGAGTAAACATTATTAAATTAGATTCAAATGACGTTTTAATATAAAAAATAATTTTTAAATCTTGCCCCAACTCTTAACAGCTTATGCCTACGTGATTAGGGTTTGTTAAAAAGACTCATTGTTCGTAAACAGCTCGTGTTCGGCTCGTTAAGCAAACAAGTCAAACACGAACACACTTTTTGAGCTCGACATATAAATCAGCCAAAAATAAGCTGAGCATGGGCTCGCTTGTGTTCGGCTTGTTTACACCCATAGTTGGGAGACCTTCAACCTCATTCATCGAAACTTCTAACTTTGAAAAATATGAAATCAAATAGTCCAAATTGAAAGTAGCAGAAATATTGTAATCTCTTGATAAATAAATCCTATAGTAATTCCCATTCAACTTCATAAAGATCCTAAACGACACATCTGTTTTGGGTTTGAGTTTCCTAAAAGTTCTCACGGAAAACCACTCTTTCTTCAATCTGATACAGAGTAGATCTCTCTTTTGAAAGGTCATATTCTTCTTGATTTTATTAGCTTGCTCTAGGTATTTATGGTTCTACTTTGTGATCTCTTTCCCAACCTCCTAATGTAGCCTCAGAATCTCTTGCACTCTAGTCTCAACATACACACTAAATTCTATAGTAGGAAAGAGTGGTACTAACTCAAATGGGCTGAGTGGGCCATGCCCATACACAATCACAAAGTGAGTGTCTTGTTGTCTGGCCCACAAACTTATTGTAAGCAAATTCAGCATGGGTTAGAATCAAATCTCAATGCTTGATGTTCTTCTCTATTAAGCAACTCAGAAGATTCCTAGAACTTCTGTTCGCCAGTCTTTGTTTGACCATCTATCTGTGGGCGAGCTGTTGAGTTGAACTGAAGCTTAGTATCAAATTTGCTCCAAAAGTGGCTCAAGAACTTGACATCTCAGAAGTAATTGTCCTTAGTATCCCATGCAGTCTTCTTATTTCCCTGAAATACAAGTTAGCTACGTGTGATACATCCAGTGTCCTGTGGCAAGGTAAAAAATGAACCATAATTCAAAACCTATCAACTACTATCATCACAGAATCCTTATTCTATTGTATCCTAGGAAGGTTCATCCTAACACTAATCTTAAATCTCCCTGAAGCCCTCATCCACCTCGTGCAGATCCTACACCTCAAATCCCACAACTCTGACTTTCATGGAGGTGATCAATAAGTGATCATGTCTTAAGGAATCTGCTACTCGATTCTGACTCCCTACCTTGTAATTGAGCACAAACTGAAATGAAACCAAGAACTCAACCTAAGAAGCATGTATGCCCTTCAACTTGCTCTGATTGTTCATGAACCTAAGAGCCCCATGATTTATGAATAATAACTCACTGGTTAGCAGGTAATGATTCCAATGACTAAGGGCTCTAACAATAACAAAGAACTTCTTATCATATGTCGAATACTTCCTGGAGTCACTCAACTCCTCATTGAAAAAGGCTATGGGATGCCCTCCCTGGCTCAACACTACTCCAAACCCAACAAAAAAAACATCACATTCCACCTCAAATAACTGATTGAAATATGGTAGTGCTAACACTGTGACGTGAAAGCGTTATTTTGCGCAACGCGGGTCACTGAAGCGAGATCGTGTCCCGCACCCTGTTGATTTCATGCAACCTGCTATTTTGTCTGGTCCAAACCAGTCCAAGATATTTCAGGTTTAGTTTTGTGTGTTTTATATCAGGAGAGCCACCAACTTTTTTTCATTCTTCCGAGTATTGTATCTTAAGAGTTTAGGTGGTGCTTTGACTGTATCTTGGACTCAATGTAGTGTTAATCCTTCTCCAACTCCTCCGCATCTCGCCCGCTTTGCTGCCCCATACTCCTCGTTGCAAGCTGCCTCGACAGAAACCTTTTGTTATTTTTCCTATGCTGTCCAACAATTCACCTTGCCCCCTCCCCCCAGGAGGGACAACCCTCCTTTGGTTGTCCGACATTCCCCTGCATTTCCCATTGTCATTCCAGCACTACATCCTCATTGACAATGCTATTCCAGCCCCTTCAATTTGTGGCTAACGCAGTTCCAACCCTCCATACCCGCTGCCATCGCTGATCTAGCCTCCATCTTTGTTGTCGTTGTTGTTCCAGCACAACCCCTTTCCTGCCATCATCCAGAACATTCGTAGCATGTCAATATCTGTTGCGTACTCGTTGTCTGGGAAACCATTTTCTTGTTATTTTTTGCTTGTCAACCACGTCATCTACCATCTCACAGCCTTCCTAACCCCTGAGATTCACCCAAGCCATGTGTCGTGCGTCGTGTTATTATTTTTTCCTATTTTAGTGTCACGTGCCATGTTTGTTTGTTATTTTTACCTTTCAAGTGTGTTAGTTGTAACCGCGTATTTGTTTTTAGTAATAATATTTCATTTTATTTTTTTTATTTTGGTTAACTGCGGTATTATTTGGTATCAGAGCTAATTTAACACTAGTCATGTCCTAGAGTTACCTAACCCCATCTCCGCCAAGAAATTTTCTTCCCACCCTACATCAACCATACAAAACTCCTTCAACCTATCATCAAGCAAAATTGAAATATATTGCTGAGGCAAATGCCAGACACCAACCAAGAGTTTACTATGGAAGAGATACAACGACAACTCTGTAGAGTGCTGCAACAGCTTGATAAAATTGAGAAAATTTGATCATCCAGTGGTCACCCAAGCTCCATTCAATTACAGAGACGATGTGCGTGTCAAATGAAACAAAGAAAATGTATCTATTAGATGATACAGAGATAAAATGAATATTAGAGATTTCAAACAAAGATGAAGAGGCTCTACCCTGAAGAATTGATCTGAAACATCTAAAAAGCTAGGAATTTGAGGTAAAAGTGGATTTGCCACATTTTTACATTCACTTTGATTCAGACGGGTTCATCGAGTGGCTTCAGAACCGTAGAACTTTTCTTTGACTTCTAGGACATCTCACCAGACAAAATGGTGAAAATAGTAACCAACAAGTTAAGGAAGAGTGTATTATTTTGGTAGCAAAACTTAAAGCACCTACGCCAATATGAGGGAAAAGACAAACTCACTATTTGGTCCGAGATAAAATGGGAGATGCAGTGCTAGCACCTCCCTGTTCATTACAGATAGAATGTGTAGACCCTAGCTTCAAAAATGAAAAGAAAAAGTTATCAGATGATTGTCACATCTTACAAACAGAGTTAAACCTCAAAATCTTACAAGAGTGCACTCAATGAAACACCTAAGCCAAACCAGCTTTAGGAGTCATTAGGTCATATTGGAGAATAAGTGGAACCAAATCACATTCCCAAATTCATCCTAGTTAAGAAGTGTTTCAGTTGCTCTAGATTTGGGCATACCAAATTAGATTTGCAAAACCAAGATAATGATCTCTTGCACATATCAATAAACAGTTGAAGAATTAAACAGAGATTCAGGAGAAGATAAATATTTCAAAAAGAATTTTCAACTTCCAACTGACAAGGAAGAGATGCTATCGATTCTAGTTGAGACCAGGAGAGAGATTTCAGCGAAGTTGGCAGTAGCTCTTCTTGAAGGTATTGAGTCTTAAGTAAAGGGCATTCATGCAGACCATAAAAGTATGATGTCTCTAGTCATTGCTTTGCAGGCATTAACAGGTGGATTAGCAGAACTGACACTGGATGTCCAAAAGTGGGATATAAATATCCTGTTGCTGGTGAAGAATAACTTCAGTTACTGATGTCACAATTTAGGAATCCTCTAGGGTGTTGCAGTATTTATCGTGAAGATTCAAGATATAGAGATGTATTTACTTTGGCATAGGCGTTCTATCATGCCATCATGTTATGCTGAACATTGACGAGGTGATTTATTTATCTGATGAGGTGAATCATTGGTATAGGCACCTTGATAACAATAAGAATCTCTTTAGCCACTACCTACGATGAGGTGAATCATTAACCTACAAATGCTGATTAGCTAAATTTCTCTTGAGATATTATCATTCATTTGAATTGTTGTCAAGGAGTTAGTACATAACTCAACAAAAACTTTGGTAAATACCATCTTCATAGTGACATTATCATCCACAAGGCTAAGCAAGAAATGAGGATGGTCGTAATAAATAAAATAAGATGTAATCATTCTTACATTACAAAGGGCAAGAGTAGAAAATGTGGTAGAGAATACCTCATGATATACCATAAAATTGCAAAAGAGGAGAAACACATGTACATAATAATAGATTACACACCAAAAAATACTCACCTGAAGTTTGCTCAACCAAGTCTGAACAAGATTAACAAAATCCTGGCAAGTACTTGAACCATCATGGCTTTGGAGTTCCCGATTTATAATTTCATTCGGGCTCTATTTAGAGGGAAAAAAAACCTGTCAACCTTAACAATTCAAGTGCCCAAAAAGGAGAAGCCTTTCCGTATATAAGAAAAGTAAATAGGTGCAAGCAATAAAACAACAACAACAAAAAAAAATGCTACGCATGTATAACAGATATTATTTATCATACATGATGAACATTTTGGTTCAAAATGAAATATAATATGAAATAAGTTCTTAATAGATATCCCTGCACAATGTACCCCCATCTCAAAAAAGGAGGAACACATCTATGTATATGTTTCACGATATTTCCCAAGGATGTATATAAAATATGAATATGCCCATCATTTGGCTCATGTTTTTCTGTTCATAAATTATTTTTACATCTCGTCCTCATTAACGATACAAGGAATACAAACAGGACCCCAATTGTGGCTAGAAAAGGGAGAGTATTGCCCAAGTAAATGGAAACAGACTATTCTTAATAGGAGACTCTTCTAACTTTTTCTATTGAACGAAATATTGAAACTAAGCTGGCAAACTATGCAAGGCCAATCGACAATAAAGCAGACGAATCAAACATCACAATGGGCATATTCTGATAGGCATTATGATTGAAAACCAATGAATTAGAACATAATTATTTATTTGTTTGACTACCAATTTCATTACCATATTACAAATGACAGGTCAAGTTTGCAGGAACTACAACCTTTATGGAAGTAACAGCATTATCAAGCATGCACTCAGAGTTTATGCCAAATGTCTATGCTAGTTAATGTCATCAATGGTTGCATCTAGCATTTATAATGATGCTTTAACTAATTTCTTTCCCAAATTTTCTAACAATGTTATTTTGTGATTTCCACCGAGTTCTTCTACCACAATTCGATTCCTCTCAAAAAAAATAAGAAAGGTACATGCAACAAGAAAGTAAAAGATCAGTGTACAATAACTAGATCATTTTCCATAAGCATTTTTATGTAGTAGCTGTCCGGTTCCACTGGATTCAGCGGAATATAATCAAACCTGTAATCCTGCTGGAGTCCCAAGTGGGATTTTGTTTCGCCCCTTGGCTATTTTAGCCATGTGGGACCCTTCCTATTATTCTTTTAATATTATTTTAATTATAATGAAGTTTATTTCTGCTTGGAAGGCTATTTATATGTTTTAATGTTTATTTTGGAGGACTTTTGCTTGGTTTATGTCATTTGGAGACATTTTCTCCTTGTGTTTCTCTATTGGAAGGCTATATCAATGGATTTCTCTCAAGTAGTTTGTTTGTGGGCTGATAAAATCAAAGTGGTAATCTCACCCCGATGTTCCAAGGCTTCCTGCATCCCGAACTTACAGCCAAGTGCTGGTTGACAACAGACATCTGCTGTTTTTCCGTTGTTGGCTCACTGTCCAGGCACAGTTAAAGCCAGATTTCAATCAGCATCATTCCTCCCTCTTTCGTCAGCCATCCTACAACTTACATGCCCCTTTTGTTCTCTCACACATTATAGGAGTCCTAGAACAATGTCACTTTTCTTCTTTTTTCTTTGATTAATCAATATCACTATCACTACTTCCCTATCGTAAAGTGCGAGTCATGTAGCAAGAAATAGTACTCTTCACCATCATCCATCACGACTTTTCATTATTTCTTTCTCCTTGCACTGCCTAACTTGACTTTTCATTATTTCTTTCTCCTTGCACTGCCTAACTTTCCTAGTGTAGTAGTTATAGTTTAATCAGCTTTACATACAAATCAATATTTTACAATCCCTGCAATCTCCCCAGATCATGTAATTTAATTTGAAAGTCTTATCGATCAGTATGGTTATATCGAAATTTCCTTCCAAGTCCCCACAATCTTGGAGATTCCATACACCTACATAAAATGAACCAGTTCTTCACACAAAACCCCGATTAAGTTCCCTAAACAATCACCTATCCTCGCCTCTCCTCCACTAAAAACGCTTACACTAATTAGTTTTCTCCACAAACAGCGTGGCAAAGTATATGGTTGAAAATTTAGACAAAGATATTAAATCCAGTTGATGTCTTGAACCCAGCAGGAAAATCACCAGATTAATTCTCAAACAAATCAACAGAACTGTAGGCAGTAAAAAAAAAAGCCTACAAAACCTCTATATTTTACATTCTGTGTTGGTAAAAAGTTAAAACACACAAACACAGGATAACTAAAAAGTTTTGAAGTAGAACAGTAAGGAAAAGGAAAACAACACTTCAACAGAAAGCCACAATGGAAACTATTTACCATGAACGAACTGACAAAGGCATGTGAATGTGTCCCACAAAGTGGTATGCCAAACAATTTTCCTGCTGCAACATTGCTGTTGATAAATGAAAATGAAACAGTTTTTATATGAACTAAAATCAATGGAAAAAAAAGGTTAAACTGCTCAAGAAATAAAGTGGGAGTGCATGACCACATAAGATTTAAAGAAAGCATTGTTCCCTCTTTTCAAACACAATAGATGCTTAGAATCCTATAGAATTACTTATAGGGTACTTATAGGGCATAAAGCTTATTAATACTAATACTTGAGGTTAATAAATAATAATGATAGCAGATTAACATCTAATAGACAAACTTAACTCAATCGGCATGCACTCCAATGTTCCTAAATATTCAAGAATGAGAAAAGTGTCAAAATAGTCCCATGACTCTTTATAAGGGGGTCAATTTAGTCTCAGACTCTATAAAAGTATCAACCTAGTCTCCACACACTTTTAATGTGGGCTGAATAATTCCCATGGAGGACTATTTCAGCCCCAAATTAAATAGTATAGGAATTAAGTTCTATAAACTCTAGGGCTAAAATGACCGAATACTAATAGTCAGAAGACTATTTTTGCACTTTACACGTTCAAGAATTTGCTAACAATCTACTGCAACACATTTAAATTCTTCATGTTACTTTAGAATTTTGAACCAAAAAAAGATAATTATAATGACATAATGAAACAATGGAAAGTACAAGTTCATAAGAAAAGACCTGAACATATGTTAAATATTATGTTTACTTTGTCAGTACTTCAACCAGAAACTATATTGGCACTAATGCGAGAGATTCCCGCAGGGCCGCGAACTGCAGTGGGAAATTGTGGCTTAAACTGGTTTAGGAGGGCCGGTAGACACTTCCTTTACATGGATTTCCCTTCTATTGAAACTGGGTCCAATTTTATTTACCCTAGGTTTATAAGTATGTTGTTTTCGTATTTTGGGCAGATTTTGTGTGTTTTGTATCAGATAGCATCCGACGTCACTTGTTCCCTTCGAGAGCTATATCCTTACTTGCAAGTGGTGCTTCGGCTGTGTCGTGGCCTCCTGGCGGTTTGTATCTTCCTTGTCCCCTTCCTCATCTTTCCACGTCACTTTCAGCCCCCCTTTATTTCTACAGCCGCCCAGGGCAGGATTCTGATTGTTTTTTTTTTGCAGTTCCAACTGTTGTGATCGCACCCCCCGCTCATGGTTCGCTGTCCCAACAATTCCAGCCCACCAATATCGATGTCGCCGCTGTCCAACCATCCTATAAGGCTGCCGCCACCCAGGAACACCTCGCCTTACAGTTTTCCTGCAGCCTCTAGACACCTCCCCCTTCCCTTCCCACATTGCTGATGTTGAAACTGCCCATTTACAACCTTTTTCCTGTTGATCCAGCCCCCCTTTGCTATCGCCTCTGCCCAATACAGCCAGGCAACACCACCTTCTTGATGTCCCCCCCCCCAAGCTCCCCCCCCCCCCAAGCTCCTCACTGCCACCACCCAGGACAACAATCACATATATTGTCCTTGCATTTTTTCGCCTCCCCCTCACTGCAACCATCATTGTTTTACAGTTGCAACACCTACAGTCATTCTTATCAACCTAACCGACCTCCACCGCACTTGGGACACCATTTAGTGGTGTTTTCTTGTATATTTATTTCTATTTCAAGTGTACTTGATTGTAATCACCTATTTGCTTGCGGTAAAAAAATTTATTTTCCTAGTGTTATTTTCAATTAATTCTTGTGTCATTTGATATTAGAATTAGTCTAATCCTAGCTCTATCCTAAGGTTTCTAACATCAACCAATAACCTATCCCTATCTCCACTCAAAAACCCTTTATTTTGCTGATTTTTCAAATCAGCCACAAAAAATTTTTTTTCCCGGCCAACATCACCATCATCAACTTTCATCCACCCAACCAAAACCCAAATCTTAGTCATGCCACTGAGTTGATAATTGATGGAAATCTGATCGGATAAAAAAGACATGATGTCTCTTATAAGAATTCTGCAAAGAGGTGTCTGGGAGATTTCTAGAGAAAATATGGAGTGCAAAATCCCGCAACTGCAATAGAGGCTCGTCGTTTTCGAAAGATCATCGGAAGGGACAGAAATTTCATTCGATCCCCAAGATGAAAAATCAATGTCTCGAAAATTTTAAAATAAAGGTGGATTTCTCACATTTTGACAGTCACATGGATCCGGACGAGTTCATCGTGGCTCTGGAAATTGAAATGGGTCTTTGAGTGAAAGGACGTCCAACAAGTTAAGGTAGAATGCATCTCAGTGGTGAGTAAAGTTGAAGATCCTTTGCCAACGAAAATGGAAGAATAAAATTACTACCTAGTCTAAGGTGAAATGTAAGATGCAGCACCAGTACCTCCCAGCTATTTAGAGGCAAAATATTTAAGTTTCAAAAGTGGAGAGACAACATCACTGAATAACTGCCACATCTTACAGTTAGAATTTAACCGCAATATCAAGCACCCAAAGTACACCGAGGGGAACATCTAAACCAAACCCTCCTGAGGGGACACTACTTCATAGTGAAAAACGAGAGAAACCAATCTGCATGCTCAAATTCATCACTGTCAGAAAGTGCTTCAAGTGCAATGAATTTGGGCGTATTGAATCAAATTGCATAACTAGAATAATGATCTCTTTCAATATTAAAAAAGTAATTGAAGAAATATGTAATGACACAGTAGACACTGAAGAAAATGAGAACATAAAGGAGTACCAGATTCCGACTAATGAGGAAGAAATGCACGCTATTCAAGCGGAGCCCATGAAAGCGACTCCAATAGAATTAATATTGGTGGTCCAAGATGGTCCTAAGTTTGAGGAACCGACAACAGAGGCATAGAGCTCTAGATAATAGAAAGTAAAACTATTTAGATATATAGGCTCTTTTCTGAGTTACCTTAGCTGAAGGAAGTTCATCATGTCAGAGATGAGTCACTTTTGAGCCACTTTTGGAAGACAATATGGAGTCAGTTGGGTGAACAATAGTGTACCCCCCGACAGATGATTAGACAAGATGGATGAACCATAATTTTGGAAATGAACTTAAGCTTTCTGGGAGAAAGAAAATCCCACAATGGAATCCAGGTAGTGTAAGAGAAGAAGACGAACCTCTCTTGAGTGATTATACTTCAGTGTGGTTCAGTCTGTCATATGTTTTGATTCAGACTTGATTCCTCCTGACATATTTATTGGGTACAATGAGCCACGTACAAGTGAAAAAAGCCAATTACAAATTTAATGACTCGAGGCTTAATTCGTGAGGAGACCCATCTACGTATAGTTCAAATTATGGTTGTCACACCCTAACTGCCCCTCCCACACTCTAACAGTCAACTGTAGTGCAACAGAGGAGGATCATTCGATCAAACAAAATTTTTATCAACAACCATCCTAACTTGCAAAATTAGAACCTAATGAGTAAAGAATCAGTCTAAGTTGTCGCAAACGTTCATGATTTGTTTCATTTCATAATTCATTCATAGTCATAGACATGAAAGCGTGAAAAAAACATATCATTATATATATATATACTTTTTTTTTGAAAAAAGCTTAAGGGCTAATATATTCAGAAAAGATACAGATAGGTTGTATGGGTGAGCCTAAAAATAGACACCCAACCCACACAAACCCACACGGTACAACACACAAAAAAGTAAAAAAGAATACATATAAAAAAAAACCCCAAAACCACTAGGGCGTTGAAAAAAGTGAGGGTCATCCCAATCTGGTTCTGTCTCTGGCTCTAGTTCTCGGAAGGGCACCAACTAACAAGTTGGGGTACATATAAAAATAAAAAAATATCAAAACCACCAGAGCGCTGAAAAAGTGAGGGTCATCCCAATTTAGTTCTGCCTCTGGCTCTAGTTCTCGAAAGGGATTCGGCTAATAGATTGATAAGGTGCGTACCATTACCCAAGTAACCAAAGTATCATCCATAAGACTCATGAGCTCAAGTAGATTTTCATTCTTCTTCCTCTTGGAAGTGTAAACATGTCATTACTCATCTGAAGAATCAGTCTAATGAGGTGGTAGAGCTGAATCATTAAGATTACCAACCGTAGTACCCACAATAGGTTCTAGTATATGCAAAGTATGAATTGTCTCTACACCGGATACTTCCTGAAGAAGAGGAGCTGCGAGATTCTCCTGATTATCTGTGTGGACACTATCCTTTGTAGGTCATATTCCATCAGTATTGTTTTCTACGATGTTTGAAGGTGTCAGCATCACATCCTGAAAGCAATTGCCACCATTAATGCAAGACAAACCCCCAAGCATTCCGCGGCTAAGGGGTTGTCAGTAGCAACAGGAGAAGTAAATAAGCACATACACTTACCCTCAGAATTTCTAAAAATGCCCCCAACCGTAGCAGATAAATGGTTCCAACTGTCATCCGCGTTCACCTTAACCCATTCGGAAGAAGGGGGAGCCCACCTGGGGGGGGGGGGGGGCTGAAGTTTGAAACATCATTGGTACAGACCCTGAGGGACTTGGTATAATAGGCCAACTAATAAGTTGTCATAGAAGCTGTAGGAAAGGGGGAATTATATTTGGAGTTGTTTCTCGCGGTCCAAATAAACCAAAGGACCAGCAAAGGAAGGGAAAACTCTCCCCCTTTATCATGAAAAGCCTTCCATTGCCATAAATAAATACTTAGGATGCCTCTATGGATCCAGAGCATACCAAAGTGTAAGCCCAATATATTCCAAACATTCAAAGAAAAAGCACATTCAAAAAATATGTGTCTCGAATCTTCCTCCGAGACTTTGCACATAGGACATCTCGAAGCCAATTTAAGGCTTTTCAACTTTAGAATGTCATCAAGAGACAGTAAAGAAAAGAAAAATCGCCAAAGGAAAAAGGAGATAGAGCGAGTTAAAAGTTTGTGCCAAATCTATTTTCCCAAAACCAATCCCAGTGAGAGTGTAAAGTGTCATAGATTAACTTGCAGACCGATTGAGAAGTGGTCCTCTTCCACACGGGGAGATCCCTGCGGGAAGGGGTAATAGGTATTAGTATTTATATGCTTAGC